CTTTTCACTCTCTTAATAGTGTCCTTTGATGCACAAAAATAAATAAGGTTTAAAAAATGTATATTGAGTAGATAAATTCAGAATTTATAATAATAAAAGCATAATATGCTAATTAGGCTGGTCGACCTTCTGGATGAAGCCGGGGCTGCGAGGGAAGCCTGGGTCCCGGGTGCCTGCCGTGGCCGGAGGGAAGCCCAGGTCCTGGGGGCAGAGGGAAGGCGGTGCCAGCAGCCGGGGGAAGGAAGGCCTACTCTTGCACGAATTTCATGCATCAGGCCTCTAGTTTAAATATATTGCTGAAGCCAGCCCCTTTTATTGCTGGCTTCTTTTTTTGTGTTCAGAAAAATTACTCTTAAGATCATATGCATAGACCAAATTTTAGTTATGGAAATATTAACTTAGAAGATAAAATTTTTACTTAATGTAAACAATGACAATGTTCATCTTCTAATTGGTTGCCCTCCCCTCTGCATGTAGCAACCACTATTTGTTCTCTTTTCCCTGTGAATGGTGTGTGGTATAAGTTAGTACCTCCTGCCTTCAATACTAACATCTCAAACAAATGAGGAAATTAAAGCTAGTATACAACTAGTAAATTACAATCTACTGTTGTACATGCTTTTTGAGTGCTATAAGAGTTTAAAGGATGAGCTGAACAATGGGCTTTTTCCCCCTAAAATCACAGCATTTTATACTCCTAACTAGAGGCCTGGTTCACGAAATTCGTGCACTCGGGTGGGGGAGGGGTCCCTCACCCCGGCCTGCACCCTCTCGCAGTCCCGGAGTCCCCGGGGGATGTCCGACTGATGGCTCATGGGGAGCGGGCCTAAGCCGTTAGTCAGGCATCCTTAGTACTGCTGTGGAATACTGCGTTGAGCATCTGCCCCCTGGTGGTTAGTGTGCGTCATAGTGACTGGTCATTCTGCTGTTTGGTTGATTTGCATATTAGCCTTTTATTATATAGGGTTGGAACTTATATTGACTTACAATTTTTTTCTTTCTAGATTGTAAATTAACAGAGGGTCTCAGTTCACCATTTGGAGTTGCTAACTCTTGATTAATGCCCTTGTAGTATATGATCAAGAAAGTATTGTTGATTTTAATAAAACATTTTGGAGAGGAAGTGTGGGTTGAAGGTTGAATCGTGAAGAAAAGTTAGTATAATCTTGAAGAAATACAGAGTAAAACATCCCATAAGCCAAAGGGTTAGGTTAGGGGACTGCATTCCATGGTCAAGAGAAAAGCCTCAATTATGAGAATAGGCAATCATTTAGTCAACAAGTAATTTATATGCCATCTAGTCAACGGATATAGTGATAAGCAAAATTAGTGGGCCCCTGCCCTTCTGATATTTATAATCTCCTGGCAGAACATAGTTTTGTTTTGTTTTATTAATCCTCGTCCGAGGATATTTTTCCATTGATTTTTAGGGATAGTGGAAGAGAGGGAAAGACAGAGAGAAGCATCAATGTGAGAGAAATCAATTGGTTGCCTCCTGCTAGAGCCCCGACCAGGGCCTGGGCCAGGGAGGAGCCTGTAACCGAGGTCCGTGCCCTTGACACGAAACCGGGAATCAAAACCGGGACCCTTTGGTCCACAGGCTGACGCTCTATTCACTGAGCAAAACTGGCTAGGGCCGAACATAGTTTTAAATAAGTTTTTCAAATATTGTAAGAGCTAAGGAAACTATTAGGTTCTCTGCAGCACATGTATATAGGCAGGGACTCCTAGCCTGTTCCAGGGGAATCAGAAACTTTCCAAAGGATAGCTGAAGCTTGAAGGATAAAGAGAAATTAGGTAGGGTTTGCGAGGGATCAGGACAGGCTGTTCCAGGCAGACAGGGGCTGAGCAAGGTGGTTCTTTCCATGGCACTGAATGATTAGGATGATGGGAGTATGGAGTGTACAGTATAAGGGTTGGTTGGTAGAAACTTAGCTTAAAA